AAATTGAGTCTAAAAAACAAATAATTGTATCAATTTTTGACAAATTAATAAAATACAGACATTGTATTGCATTTTAGACATTTTGCAAATTAATTTCATCTACTAATCCATAGTAGCCATCACTTGTGGTCGACTTAATATCATTCAATTGAATGCTTTCGACCAAACAATCGCTAAATTTATACAAACTGTAGGATTCAATGATGTCTTTGGCGTCGAAACACTCTCTTTTGATCCGTTTCTTAGATTCAGTTTTGGGATCAATATTTTTAATTAGAAATCTTTGTTTGAATAATGAGTTCATAAAAGTGATGTGAAGTTTCACTTGATTTGTGACACAACTCTCTTCCAGAAGACCTGATTTGACAAATGTATCGACAATTTGGTCGGCGATTGACTGAAATCTATTGGAGTCGTCTTTGACCTGAGCGTAGACCACATGAGCCCTATTGGGCCGACCCTTCATTACTGCCAGTCCTTCAAGAGATACCATTAATGGCTTTTCTGCGACAATAGGTCTAACGATTTGGTGCAGACTTTGTCGCAGCAATTGTTTGGCTAAAAGCACTTCCTTTGCGTCCAATAAAACCAAAACACAAAAAGTCAAATGAAGTTTAAATGGCTTTTGAAACAAAGTTTCGTCGATTCCCTTATCCCCAGAGTTGGCGTCTTTCAGGACATTGTCTTTGAATTGATTGAACTCTTGGACCAAATGTTGGCTTTTGAAGGGAACTGTTATTAAGTGAGTCAATGGTCTCAGTCTTCGCGAAGTGGCCAACAGTTCATTGAATTTCATTTTGCTTTCAATCACTTTATCCCTGTTTTGGCCGCAAATACTAACCAAATAATTATTGTCTTTATTTTCAATTGTAATCAAAGTTTTCAAACTCTTCTTCACGTTATTCAATGAATTTCTCACTCTTTTAGTGACCAATGTTTTGGTGACAATTGAGTCAATCTTATAGGACATAACCTCATTGTCTACTAAAGTGACCACTTCTTCATCGTTGACAGTGGAGGTGTGAGCCATGTCTTCATCCATGTCTTCGTGATTATCATTTTAAGCGAAACTTAATTTGAATGAAAACTTGTGTTAACTTTGAATTCAATGAAGTGTTTTCACATCAAATCCAAAACAAAGCCAACATTTCATATAAAATGTTGTTTTCATTCACTTTACTATCGATTGATAACTTCACAAATAATTTGAAATATATTTTCGTTTAGTTTATAATTAATTTCCAATACATATGACAATCAATATATAGTAAAATTTAAATTATGAAACACTACACAAACAATTTAAACTATAATTTTCACTTAAGGGGTGAAAAGTGTTTGCATTTATAATATATGAATGAATTGAAAGTTTGGCGAAAAGTAAACATAATTTGAAAACATGAGTGAAATCTTCAAAGACACCAAAGAATTGGAGGAATTCTTCAAGAATTTGGGGATTGAGTACCGATTCTCGTGCTATTACGAGAAGAATGGCGAGGGTTTGTCCATCACTTGACTCACTTGCCATTCATTCACTGTAATTGTCTGTCCATTCATTGCAAAGGATGTCATCTTTTGGGTGAATATATGTCCAAAATAGAGGCCGATTTGAAGCGTTCATCCAAAGTGTTCAAAGATAATTGCGATGACAACCGATTTGGTAGGAGTTGTACTCAATATGGGATCAGTCTTTTGCAGGGCAGAGGTTAGTCATTGTGGCCATAGATTTGGAGACTGAGTGAAAGTGTTGTCTCAATGGTTAGGATGTGATCCAGACGTGAAGAAAGCTCTCGAGTACTTCGGCAGAGGCTGTCAGTTGGGCGACAACGAGGGCTGCTTTTATTCGGGGCAACTGTTGTCCGGATCCGATGCTCAATACAAAGACGCGATTGAGCCCAACATCAAGAAATCTGTGGAGCAGTTGGCGAAGGGCTGCGAAATGAGTGAAAACGGCATAATCGCCGCCGAGTGTTGTTTTTATGTCCACTCCTTCTACCTGTTGGGCAAAAACGGCTGCGAAAAGGATTTGTCCAAAGCCTTGAAATTCGGGATCAAAGGCTGCGAATTGGATAATCTTGAGTCGTGTAATAATTTGAGTCAAATGTATGCCTTAGGGATGGGGACACCGAAGGATGAGGGCTTGGCCAAGAAGTATAGGAATAAGAGTATAGATATGATGGAACAGATCAGCAATTATCGCAACATTGAGACCCAAAGGACTTAACATTTATTTGTCATCACTTTTGATAATGATNTCAACAAGTCTGTGGTATAAAACTGGTCTATCACTCAAACAGTTCGCTATTATATTATTCTCAATCCTACTGTCCATATCATTTGTACTCATATTTCTCTTGTTAATTCTGGGCATTAAACTTAGACAACAAATCAAAACTAAATTCTGTAACAGTAGTACATCCACTCTTTGAAAGCTCATCATATTATACAACAAATATATTTTCAAAGATATCTGATTCGACACTTTATTTATAAATATTTATTTCTTATTAAATGATTGATTCAATGGTCGACTAATAAAACATTATTCTTATCATTATTACTGCATTAAATTAATAACTAATAAAACATTAATTATAATAAATTTGTTAAATCTATAAATTTATTTAAATATAATCATTATCAAAAGTGATGACAAATAAATGTTAAGTCCTTTGGGTCTCAATGTTGCGATAATTGCTGATCTGTTCCATCATATCTATACTCTTATTCCTATACTTCTTGGCCAAGCCCTCATCCTTCGGTGTCCCCATCCCTAAGGCATACATTTGACTCAAATTATTACACGACTCAAGATTATCCAATTCGCAGCCTTTGATCCCGAATTTCAAGGCTTTGGACAAATCCTTTTCGCAGCCGTTTTTGCCCAACAGGTAGAAGGAGTGGACATAAAAACAACACTCGGCGGCGATTATGCCGTTTTCACTCATTTCGCAGCCCTTCGCCAACTGCTCCACAGATTTCTTGATGTTGGGCTCAATCGCGTCTTTGTATTGAGCATCGGATCCGGACAACAGTTGCCCCGAATAAAAGCAGCCCTCGTTGTCGCCCAACTGACAGCCTCTGCCGAAGTACTCGAGAGCTTTCTTCACGTCTGGATCACATCCTAACCATTGAGACAACACTTTCACTCAGTCTCCAAATCTATGGCCACAATGACTAACCTCTGCCCTGCAAAAGACTGATCCCATATTGAGTACAACTCCTACCAAATCGGTTGTCATCGCAATTATCTTTGAACACTTTGGATGAACGCTTCAAATCGGCCTCTATTTTGGACATATATTCACCCAAAAGATGACATCCTTTGCAATGAATGGACAGACAATTACAGTGAATGAATGGCAAGTGAGTCAAGTGATGGACAAACCCTCGCCATTCTTCTCGTAATAGCACGAGAATCGGTACTCAATCCCCAAATTCTTGAAGAATTCCTCCAATTCTTTGGTGTCTTTGAAGATTTCACTCATGTTTTCAAATTATGTTTACTTTTCGCCAAACTTTCAATTCATTCATATATTATAAATGCAAACACTTTTCACCCCTTAAGTGAAAATTATAGTTTAAATTGTTTGTGTAGTGTTTCATAATTTAAATTTTACTATATATTGATTGTCATATGTATTGGAAATTAATTATAAACTAAACGAAAATATATTTCAAATTATTTGTGAAGTTATGAATCGATAGTAAAGTGAATGAAAACAACATTTTATATGAAATGTTGGCTTTGTTTTGGATTTGATGTGAAAACACTTCATTGAATTCAAAGTTAACACAAGTTTTCATTCAAATTAAGTTTCGCTTAAAATGATAATCACGAAGACATGGATGAAGACATGGCTCACACCTCCACTGTCAACGATGAAGAAGTGGTCACTTTAGTAGACAATGAGGTTATGTCCTATAAGATTGACTCAATTGTCACCAAAACATTGGTCACTAAAAGAGTGAGAAATTCATTGAATAACGTGAAGAAG